GAGCTTGCCTCCGCCGAGCGTCGCACCTCGGACTGCAAGGCCGCTCTGGCCAGGGCCAGCGAGATGCTGTCCCAGCTCCGGTTGATTGGCCCCTCCGAGGCGGAGACCCAGGCCAAGGCCGCGGCCGAACGCAAGGCCAAGGCCGACGCGGCAGTGAATAGCAAAGTCCCTGGGTACGACGAGGATGAGCTCATGGAGGAGCCCGACGACGGCAAGCAGCGCCGCACAGGCCCTGGGCCAAGCGGAGCCGCAGACGCCGCCAAGGACCTCTCGCCGCAGTTGCCACCTGAGACCCCCATCACCGTGATCGCTTCCATTCAGGAGGAGCAATCGCAAGTGCGGAAGCAGCTCACCCAGCTCTCCCAGCAGCTGCAGGTCATCTCGTCCTCCCTTAGAGGGCCTGCGCCTGCTGCCCCAGCTGCCCCTTCAGCCACTGCGATGGCAGCGAGTGCGGCCAAGGCCGCCCTGATCGCCAAGATGGGCCAGGCTGCCCCGCCCCCTGCCGGCCCGCCGCCGATGCAAGCCGCGGCGGCCGCTGTTGCAGCCGAGCCGGTGGCAGCAGCTCCACTCATGCAAGGCGCCCTTGCCCCTCGTGGACGCCGAGGCCATGATCCTCGGCCTGATGAGGATGAGGAGGCGCCAGTCGACCCGCGTCAGCGTTCGCGCAGTGCCCCCCCGGCTGTCGGAGTGGCTGAAGATGCTGATGCCGCTGTCGGAGATGCCGGCGCCATGATCGGCCCCGCTGACGAGTATCAGCCTGGCGCGCTTGCCGCGGCTCGCGAGGGCGCTGCGGCGGCAGCCACAGCACCAGCACCAGCAGCGGCCCCGCCCTCAGCGGACGGCCCTGTCGGAGTCGGCCGTGCTGAGGGATGGCACCCGGGCATGGCGCCGCTTTTTGCGGTCGCCCGAGGGGCCTCAGAAGCGGGCTAGATGGGCGGGAGCAGGCAGCCGCCGTCGCCGCGGCCTGCCCGCAGGACTCCGCACCCAGCAGCCCAATCCCAGATTGTGCGGATGTCCTCGACGCCCTCCTTGCCCCCTGGCCCTTCTCCTTACACCCGTTTCGCCCAGCACACCTTGATTCTTATCTACACAGCAGCACCAGAGAGGCGGTTGGTCAGCTCAGTCCGGGTTTCTGGGAAGCCAATGAGTTCAGGGCCATGCACATATACACTGACGGTTCTGGAGGCTCCGCCGTTCCATCGCTTACAGGACCGCCGTCGTGGTCATTTGTGGTGTTTGGCGAGCTTGCCGCAGGACAGCTCGCGTGCCTAGGCTATCTTGCACAGCCAGTTCCATCTCTCCAAGATATATTTGTTCAGCCTTCCACAGCAGCCGAGTTTGAGGGTGGCCTATGGGCTTGTCTCTGGGTGCTCTCGCAGCCTTGGCACATGCACGTTCCTGTCACATTTCACACCGATAACATCATGGTCGTTCGTACGGCACGCAGTGGCACACTGTTTCAAGCATGCGGCGACTACCCCGTCTTGCTGGACGCCGTCGCCCGGGTCTTGCGGGCACGCTCGCCTCTGTATGCTTGGTTGCACGTCGACGGCCACGCAGCGCACCCGTGGAACGAATTAGCAGATACTTTAGCAACACTTGCATCGCAAGGGCTATTGGATATTCCCCTGCACGATTTCTCACCAGATGCGCCGCTGCTTATTTCAGGTACTCGCCTACCTTGGATATGGATCACGGCAGCGGCCGCACATGCCCCTGATATCAGCTTGCCTCCTATCACCCCTGCCAGATTGATGCCGCCGGGTGAACAGCTGACGAACGTCTGCCAGTTATTTGCGCAGCAAGTGGTGGAGAGGTCAGTGTCGACGAGTGCGCCCCCTCATGCTGCACATGTAGTTCGCGCTGCTGTCGCCAATGTCCTAACCCTGAGCCTCGCGAGGAAGGGCAAGAGCAAGGCCAGCCGAGTGGGGGTCACGTTGCCCGGCAGACTTCTGGGGCTAGCTGCACAATTTGCCAAGGCTAACTATTGACTTGTGGGCACCCCCGAGTCTCGGTCGCCAAGGGGCTGCAAAGTCCAAGCTGATCCCTATTTGATTCTGCACGCTGCCGCTGAACATCGAGGCATGGGCGGGGTCTCGTTATGGGTCCACCAGGGCTTGGAATATCAAGTAGGCCGTCGATTTCAACGCTCGCATTTCAGGGTGTTGTATAAGTCATCGTCGGTTCTTCTGGTTGCAGTGCGGGCGCCAGGGCTCTATTGCGATATTATTGTTGCTCATGCCCCTCATAGTCGTCGGCCCGCTGCTGAACAGCGCACGTGGTGGAAATTACTCAGCAGTGTCTTGCAACACCGCACTACGCCATGCCCTGTGCTGGGATTGACGGATGCTAATAGTACGCTCGGATCAGTTTGTTCGGCCGCTGTTGGGCCCTACCATGCTGCAGAGCAAAATGTTCCCGGTGACTACTTTCACAAGTTCCTCTTAGACTTCCACCTCTGTGCGCCTGCTACTTTGGCCCCTGCCGCGTCAGCACAGAC